GCATCAGCAGTCTATAAAATAATGATCCTTGATTAAATCTCTATGAAATAATGATGCTTGATTAAATCTCTATGAAATAATGATCCTTGATGAAGTCTCTTTTTCTGTTAAACATTTCCATTTTTCACCTGTAACTCACCTGAGGAAGTACTCTCAGTGGGAGTGTCCTGTTCAGAACGAGGCTGGTTGATTGTTCGACGGATACTCTGGTATCTGGAATGTGTAAAGATAGAAAAATATCATAGCTGGTAATTGTTTGACAAATGCGTAATGACAAATAAAAACAAAATACAGTACACCAATGCTAGTCATTCCCGAATAAAACTTAAGATAAAGAACCAAATTGAAGTCAGTGACGCTACTTTAATTCCATTTTTTAACAAAAAAATTTATATTTCAAGGTTAACGAATCCTTTGATCACTCATGTAAAATGTTCTTATTAACATTATTTTATAAGTAAAACATAAACAGTTTTAGTATAGCCTGTAAGACTAAATTGGGTAAAAAAAAAATTTTATTTTACAAACTTATAATGGAATAATAAGTGTTAAACCCATAAGGAATATTATTATCTTTCTTCAACAAACCTTCATGACAACATAGTAAATTTGTGAGTGTTTCATCAACAAAGAAAGTCTTTATATAATAAAGGCATGAAGTATCTTAATTAACATGATCAATTCTCACTGCCTTGTAATTCCTACCTCCTGTCCAGTTGCTGTCTCTGTTCAGAGCTGATGGTCGGCCGTCGCTGTATGGTTCGCTGACCACTCTGTGGTTTCTGCCACGTGGTGGTCCTGTTGGTGTGGTCAATGTAGAAGATTCTGCCGTGGCTGTCCACGCGGGCCTCCCAACCTACACAGCAAATAGATCATTCAAGGATTCATGAAATAGTATAGGGACATTGCACATTTCAACCTAGGCGGCAATTCTTATTCAAGGTAATTTGAAATTATTCAAGGATTTATAAAATAGTGCAGGAACATTGTATTTAATTTAAACAATTACAGCTCAGTTCATGAAATGATGCTATGTAAAATCAACTTACATTTTACCCAAGAAATTTACTGTAATTAATGGAAGAAAGGAGTAATAACTGTATTATGTATAACAGTTCATAAAACACTTGTACTAATCCAACATCAAAACCATTAATTAGGCCACTTACCTGGAGGGAGGGGCTGATCCCCTGGGGGTGGGTCCACTCGGTGGTACCTTTTCCTGGCAGGCAGTTTTGGTAGTGGTGACTGGCTGCCCTCTGAAAGAGTAATTGTACAATCATCACCAAACCCTCATTTGTACATCTTGTGTACAAGCAGTCAACATAATATCAATACAAGGGTAGAATAACACCAAAAAAAAGTCCCCAGGGTGTACAATCCCTAAAAGTTGAAGTTCCTTATCTTGAAAACTGATATCTTAGTGATTTTGAAGTCCCAACTGTTTATTCTTTACTTATTTTACCCTTGATATCTCAATTCCTCAGATATCTTAATATTTTATCTTGATCTCCACAAGTGTGAGATACTTAAGTTTGAACAGCATTGATATAGTGGGGGATTTGGTTCCGTGGTTGAAGAAGTCAAGTCTTGATCACAATATCCACATTTCATGGATGGACATAAATTAGGGTCTCTTTTATAATCAGAAAAACAACAGAAATGAAGCCAACACATAAACATAGGTAATCAGAAGATTACAGAGCTCACCTCAACGAATGTTGTCTTTAAGTAAGGCAAAGTCAGACAATTAACCAACAAAAAGTGTACATTCCAAAAATGAAAATATTTAAGCAATTTTGATCTGATACTTTGAAACAGACCTACATAAAAAATTTAAACTAGTTCTTCTTCATGAAAATGTAATCAAAATCCAGCATCTGAAGCAAATTTGAGAGTTTCCATCTCTTGATGCAACATTTGTGCAAGTTTGGTTTATACAATGTTATATAAGCCTTATAGTTTTGTGGAAATAGACCTGCAACCATAACTTTTACCTGGTCTATTATCTGAAAAATGTATGTCGAATTCAGCATCCGAAGCAAGTCCATTAGTGTGCATCCTAAGATGTATCGTCCATGCAAGTTTGCTCATTATAGGGCTCATAGTTAATTGGAAATGAAACATGCATCAAAAACTAACATTTTCACTCATCCACAAAAAGGAGGTCAGATTCAGCATCCGAAGCAAGCCTGGTAGTATGCATCCTTAGATATATCTTCCATGCAAGATTGGTCATTAAAGAACTCATAGTTACTTGAAAATGAAACCTGCACCAAAAACTTTAACCTGTTCACTCAACCAGAAAATGTAGGTCAGATTCAGTATCCAAAGCAAGCTCGGTAGTGTGCATCCTTAGATGTATCATCCATGCAAGTTTGGTCAACATAGGGCTTAAAGTTACTTGCAAATGAAACCTGCACAAAAAAATTTAACCTGTTCACTCAACCGGAAAATGTAGGTCAGATTCAGCATCCGAAGCAAGCCCGGTAGTATGCATCCTTAGATGTATCATCCATGCAAGTTTGGTCAACATAGGGCTTATAGTTACTTGGAAATAAAACCTGCACCAAAAACTTTAACCTGTTCACTCAACCAGAAAATGTAGGTCAGATTCAGCATCCGAAGCAAGCCTTGTAGTATGCATCCTTAGATGTATCATCCATGCAAGTTTGGTCAACATAGGACTTATAGATACTTGGAAATGAAACCTGCACCAAAAACTTTAACCTGTTCACTCAACCAGAAAATGTAGGTCAGATTCAGCATCCAAAGCAAGCCTGGTAGTATACCTCCTTAGATGTATCATCCATGCAAGTTTGGTCAACATAGGGCTTATAGATACTTGGAAATGAAACCTGCACCAAAAACTTTAACCTGTTCACTCAGCCTGAAAATGTAGGTCAGATTCAGCATCCGAAGGAAACCTGGTAGTATGCATCCTTAGATGTATCATCCATGCAAGTTTGGTCAACATAAGACTTATAGTTAATTGGAAATGAAACCTGCACCAAAAACTTTAACCTGTTCACTCAACCAGAAAATGTAGGTCAGATTCAGCATCCGAAGCAAGCCCGGTAGTATGCATCCTTAGATGTATCATCCATGCAAGTTTGGTCAACATAGGGCTTATAGTTACTTGGAAATGAAACCTACACCAAAAACTGCACCAAAAATGTTAACCTGCTCCAAAAAACATTAATCTGGTCATTTCTTTGTTTAAACTGCAGCATCTGAATCTTGGACTGGTACAATGAAAAACACTATAAGCATCTCCCATGCATGTCTAATCAATATAGGACACAGAAGTACTTAAAAAGAAAACTGCCCCAAAAAACTTAACCTTAACCTGGGACGCCGACGCCAACACCGACACCGACGCCGAGGGTATCACATAAGCTCCCCCCAACTTCGTTGAGGTGAGCTAAAAATGAGTGATGTGACATTAGCCTTGCTTACCTTTGTTGGTGGTTGGCTGTTTAGGTTCTGTTTTATTGGTAGATTGCCTGAGCTGCCAAACTGTGGAACGCGAGTCAGATTTCCCGGCTCCAGATTTGGCACTCGAAGACTTCGCCGCCCCTGTCTGCGGCCTTGGCGAATTGCTAGGTGTGGCATTAGATGTTGAAGTAGTCGGTTTATCTGGTTTATCACTGCTCGTCTGGTTTTCACTATCGGTAGATAACACAGCACCGGAGTCCTCCTCAGAATCGGGTTTAGATTTTTCTTTTTGTTTTTGGGTCCATAGTTGTAGTTGCTGAACGATTTGTTCACGGTTTTGTTGTTTTTCCTCATCGCTTAAAACGCGACTGAGGGCGTTTCTAGGAATTATGCGTGGCGGGGTTCCAGAGTCGGAAATTGAACTGGCAGATCTATCCAAAGGGGCCCTTACGGGGGTAGTAACAAATGTCTCGTTATTCCTAAAGTTTCTTTCTGTTGGTGCAGCTATACTGTGACGACTTGCATATTTCCTTTGTTCGGCCACTGAATCACTGTATGAAGTTTGCATAGATGGACTCGGACTAGTTCTCGGGCTACACTCCACAGATCTACTCACCGCACATGAATTTCTGTGTCTCTCAGGTGACCCAGCTGAATCAGGGCCACCAATCATGGACACATGCGAAATCAAATTGCTATTGTTCGACAGATGTCTGGCCGGTAACTTAGTCACAACACTTCTAGGTTTATTATGCACTTTGGATTCCGACCTCTGGGCACGGGGTCGTGACCTCCGTGGACTGTCCACCTCGTCAGCTGTTTCCGACGATGGGGATGAGATTTCTGCCTCCTGGACACCAGATGGCATTGCTGATTCCGAGGTCCCTTGTTCCTCTGCACATTCCTGGGAATCTCCTGAACTCTCCAAGCTGTTTGAACTGGTTCCCTCCCCCTCCTCTTGTTCGACAGCCTGCTGTTGAGGACTAGTTTGAGAGACCGTGATTGGACTGTACGTACGGGGTGGTAAAGGAGGAGGTTCCAGACTATTACAAGACCTCAATGCCTCTGTGCTAGTGGGTCTAGGGGTGGGGGGCTCTGACCTACATTCTGGCACAGTGTCAGGTGAAATTTGAACAGTTCCTACTCCACTAGCAGGAAATATAGGCCTTTCCCCTCTCTCAGGTGTCCGAGGGGGTAGGGGAGGGGCATCTGACATCTTGTACCTAGGGGGTAGTGGGGGAGCCTTATAGGTCCGGGGTGGGAGCACAGGTGGTTTGGGGGGTATGTCATTCATGACTAAATTTACCTCACTATCTAGAGAGTTATCTAACACTTCAGGAGTTTCCTTCTGCTTGTTTTTGGCACAATTTAAAAACTCGAGTGGATCAGCACCGTTTGTATTCACAGTCTGAGGCGACACATCGGAACCGCTTGAATTGTCTCCACTTGACGGCACAGCAGACGATAATCCTGAACTAATATCACATATTTCACCCTGATTTGATTCTTCTGTTCGAGTTTCCTCCGTATTCTCAGAAAAATTACACACTATGTCTGGTATTGACGGTAAATTGGTAACCTCACTACTAACGGGAACATTATCACATTCCACTTCATTTACATCATCCTCAATTTCACCGCTGATACGGTCCCTTAATAACTGTGTTAAGGATATCCCAGAATCCTCTTGGTCGTCTACTGAATCATCCTTTGACACAGAGCCATTTTGTGACACCGACTCAGGATTTTCAATACCTCCACTTTGCTTATTTGATTCTTGTAATCCTAGGTATATATAAAATTACTCAGATTAAACAAGTTAAAGATACACATGAAAAATAATCATTAAAAAAATAGTATATGTAAATATCAACTGCATTGAAATTGACAAATTAGGGATACAGGCAAGTTACCAACTGCAGTTTTAAATTTATGTTAAAGGTGTGTGCCTTGTGATAAATACTTCATAGTTGTCAAATTTTCTTGACAAATGATAAATCATGAACATAGAGTTTAAAAAATTGTTTGTTTTTTTTTTATTTCCCAGTGGTCAGTATCCATCACTGGTGGATTTGGGGGGGGGGGGGCTCTTGTGTCCAAAATATACACAAGATTTTAAATTAATCAATCATTTTTTTCTGTGGTTGTGGGCCCCTAACCCAACCCCAAACTTGTTGGGCCCCCTTTTTAAGATTCCTGGATCCACCTATGTCCATAACAACTAGTGTAACTGACACCTTAATAATTAAAAGTTTTCAAACCTGGTCTAAACTCCAGGTCTATTACGTCAGCACCAAATTTGAGTGTCCCGCTAACGTTATCCGTGGGATTCCTCTTTGTCAGGTCCAGACAGAATTCTGTAGGTCTGTTAAAAATAAATCCAAGAAATTAACATATACGTACAGTAAAACGAACTTACAACAAAGTGTCAGGGATGGACGATTTGCTTAGTTAAAGCCACAGAAGTCTGAAGGTTTTATCGTCAAAACAAAATACAAACAAAACAAAAAAAACAAATCCAGGAAAAAAATTTCCCACCCTCTATAAAAACTCTTCTTTAGTTGGGGTGGGAAATTTTTTTCAGGATTTTTTTTTTGTGATGGAAAAAAACTTCAGTCTCCTGTATTTAAAGCATAATTCATTATAATCTGTTAAATTTACTATATATTAAAGTCACGATGAATGAAAATCCCTTTGTTGTAAACGTCGTTTCATTATAAGCTTTTTTGCTATAATTGAGATTTACCGCTAGTATAGCTATAACAACACCACAGAGAACATTAAATTCCTTGTAAGGTTAAGTAAACACAAAACTTCACTCACTAGAACACATGAATTATAGGAAATAAAATCCCACATAAAAAAATGTTAATAAACTCCAAAAAAACAAAGACCAAGACAATATAGTCTCTCCACTTCTCAAACAAAAAAAAATATTTTCCTTTCATAGATAAAATTGATGACCTCCTTATAAGAACTTGAGAAAACTGGAGTTAGTAATTAAGAGGAAGTAATTGACAGGGACAGCTGTGTATAAGTACACTGTACAATGTTAAGCAGGATACTCTGATACTGTACACATGTAATCACTTCCCTATCCCGGTTGTACTAGTTGCTGCGCGTGTGTACAGACTCAATTACTGATGTGTGATTTACTGGTACTTACAATCGTATTACTCATTAAAAGTAAGAATTTATAATCCTTATATAATATTTCTCAATATTAGCTTGTCTTTGTGTGCGTATATATCATGTGTGTATTTGATAACATTTTATTTTTAAGTTGAGAAAGAAATATGCAACACCAATTATGTGATACAAGGATTAAAAAAATCATTTTTTTTTTTCAAGTGATTTTGTCTTCTTCTTTCAATGCAAATTTGAGATATCTTTCACTTCAAAAAAAAAATAATAAATTGTCAATTTCTTATAAAAGAAAAAAAACACAGTCAAACACTATTTTAGCTATCATCATGATCATAGACACTTCTTTTAGCTAAATATTATGTCACATTTATTAGCTCCTGCACAGTCCATTTGTGTACCTATGTATGTATGATAACAACATACATCAATAGGTACACTGCAAGTCTGTACAGCTTCAGTCATGATGATCAAGCACTATTACATGGATGTACAATTACATACATGTACATGTATACATGTGCAACGAAATATATATCCTCGCAATGGGCATTGTATATGAAATGGTTTCTCCATTATTGCCACATTTACATACATACTGTAGAAACACAAATTTTTGTGGGGATAAAACTTCGTTAAGTTGTACGTATAAATCTAAAATGAATTTGTTGGCATTAAATTTCATCCTTTTGAATTAGTATTACTTTCAATATATTAGTAATATAAAATTTTGTGTGGGATTTAATCTCGTCAATAATTGTAAACAATGAAATAAACGAAATTTAATCCACAACAAAATTTTCCGCTTTCACAGTAACATACGTACACTATAAATAATGTATGTACTGCTGCTGTATGTATGGAAATAATAATAAAGCAGATTACTGTATAAGTAGAAATTTTAGCGAGACGCAAATTTAGCGATTTTCCTTAAAAACTGGTAAATTTTTTTTGCAAGATGTTATTTTAGCGATTTTAAAATGCATATTTAAGAAGTATTACAAATTACAATGCAATTAATTTTTAGCGATGTTCAATTTTAGCGATGTCGGCACTCTCGGTAATAATGCAAAAATTAAATCCTCGCTAAGAATTCTACTTATACGGTACCTACATTTATCAAGTTTTTTTTTTTTTTTTTACTTTTTTCCAAAAAAAATTAAAGTCAAATTAAGAGTGTTTCAGTATAATAAAACACATTATTCATGCCATCTTCACAATGCCCAGGGATCTTGAGCACTGTTGAGTCAACATGTTGCCATTGAACCCCAGACAAATTTCATTCAATATTTTGGGGGCTGACTGTAGTGACGTCTTTCGAAAAAATTACAAATCTTGATTATTTTTCTTGTCTCTCAACCAATCACATGAAGCCACTCTGTGATAAACAACTTGCATTAATTTTGTAACATATATATGTGCACTTTAGGTGTCAACTAAATTATTTCTCTTTAGATTATATAATATAACTATCTATGAAAGCTTTAATTTGATTGGTACTTCTCATGGATTACAGAAATTAATACTTACATACACATGTACATGATGTAGACTGACATAGATTTCATCACTGTTCATTTAACATTATGTATTGATTTATTAACATGATTACTTTAACAGAGCAAAAATAAATTTGTCTGATGAAATATTTATTCAAATTAAATTTAAATCAAAGGCCTGAAGGGCCTGCGAGTTGACTCGCTCGAGTCAACTGAGCTTTTTCATACATCTGGGCACCATACCTTAATATATTCAGTTTATTTTGCATCTTAAGAGATTAAATAATATATGTCTGATCCATGTTCGGTTCATAAATAAAGTGTATATTGCTTTTCTTTTATAAATACAGGTTGGCACTAATGGGCTTCCGTATTATTTTGTAACTGGATTCTATAATGATTTTCAGCACATTAACTGGAGTGGTCAGTGTTATGGAATAATTAGGTTAAAGATTCCCACAGCAAATCTGGATTCTAAAAATAGATTTTCAACAAAAACTAGCTGCAGCTAATGAAAGCAGCAGGTGTTTGTGTTAGGGATTATTCTAGGTCAATTATAAATACACTTCAGATGGGAAGATTAGATCCATATATTCATACGCTGTAATTGTACATCATACAGGTATTTAATCAAAAATTTCTTTGAAAGCATGAAGGCATAAATAATGTAACAGTATGAAATTTTATACAGTTTTTACCTCTTAAGTTTATACAATCACTCAAACCAAAGCATTTTTTGCTAGAACTATTATATTTGGCGTATGGATCACCTTGATGAATGCGTGCAAAATTTTACAGTTCTGAAAACGTCTATGTCGACAGGGAGTAGCTCGCTACGCGAGCCAACTCAAAAAAAAACTCAAGCAGGAAGAAATGGAAGTTCTATAATACACCAATAAATGTGTGGAATTAGAATTCCAGAGGTAACAAAATTTGAATATTTCTAATCCACTTTGTAGGGATGGGTATCGCTAAAAATTTTGTATCGCAATATACATGTATCACGATTTTCCCCCAAAATATCACGATAATATCATGATATTTTTACAAGCAATTTTTACAATGATTTTAAATGAATAGTCATTATTTTTCTTAAAACTTTACTAGAAAAAAAAATTTCACTTTTTAAAATTTTTATGTAAATAAAATTAATCATAAAATTAATCATGTTTGAAGGGTGAGATGCCGTTCTTTTCACCTTTTACAACATTTTTTACACTTTCCTTAATTGTAATTTGAAAGATTGAACAAACAAATAAATAATTTCTGGACTTTATAATATGTATCTAAAGACCGGTATTTAGGTCTCCATATATCACGATACGTACAACGCAACAAAAAATTGTGATATACCGGTATACCGATAAAATCTCACATTCCTACCACTTTGACAGGTATTTGAAGTCAGTTCTAGAAGAAGGACTCTAAAAGTGCCCAGTTTTGAAATTAAGAAGAAACTCTCTCTAACAAGCACACTCCCCTATGGGTAGTGTCATTTGGTTTCCATTAAAAATTAAAAGGCCATAATTCCCTCAAATTCATTGAAGTTCCACTAAATTCAAAATTGATCTATAACTCATCAAGATACATTTATTATAAAAAAAATCAGCTCAATATCTGCATGCCTATAGAAAAACAGTACAGGAAACCATTAAAGATTAAATAGGCTGCATTTCCCTCAAATATCATTGAAGCGAATGAAATTCCAATTTCATCAGTAACTCATCATTCACACACCAAGAATCAGCTCAATATTTGCAAGCATGTAGAAAAAAAAAATGCAGAAATCTAAATGGGACAGACCAACAGATAGACAAATGGATGGACAGATGCAGAGGAAACCTCTTGTCCCCTCTCGTTTCCCCTGAAGGGGAATAATAAAGGCACAAAGCATCAAGGCTGTGAGGGGCAGGAGGCTAATCCCCTACTTTTTATGAAAAATTTCTTGCTGTTAATTATGAAATTCTTTAAAGGAAGCTTGATTACCCCATCCTTTATTCACCAACCTTTTTGTAGCAATATGGTTAAATCACCCACCTTATTATATAATACCGGTATGTGCAATCAAGAAAATAAATTCAAGTTTGACAGTTTTTTTAATACAGCCTTTTTAATTCTTAATGGTTTTCCACATTGTTTTCCTACCCGCTTGCAGATATTTAGCTGAATTTTTATATGTAAATGTATCCCCGTGAGTTACAAATCAATTTTGAATTTAATAGTTCATTTTCAATGATTTTTGAGGGAATGGTCTTTTTAATTTTTAATGGGAACGAGATTACTCTTATGGGAAAGGGACTAGTATCACAAATGAAATATTTTTCTCTCCATTATATTTGTTTTTTACTTGGTTAATATTTATCAAAAACCCTTTTCATTTGTTATTTCCTTTCATTTGTTATCCCCCCCCCTCCCCCCCTTCAGACAAGGATAAATGATGCTTTTTAATATAAAGTGCCTGTTATAAGGGAGATAATTTTAAAATTGATACAGTTATCATACACTGTACATGTGCAGCAATGATTCAGCCACTTTCTATATACAGTATAACAATTAATATGTCTCATCGGGATGTTGTATATTCCAAAATCTCTCCTATTACAATTTGTCTCATCTGGATGTAGTATGTTCCAAAATCTTTTCTGTTACAATGAAAACTTTTATCCCTTTAAATTTGAATTGTTTACAATGCCATAAAAAATCCAGAATGACACCGCAATTGGTAGTTTCAATGAAATCACAGCTATCTGGATTAGGCAGGTTTTACTGATTAGAAGTAAATTTGCACTAATTTTGCTCTCATCTTCATTTTCTGTTAGAAAATTGCCACCATTTTGGAAAAGGTAACTGCAAACAGGGAAATTTTTGTCGAAGTTTTATTCTATGTCCCTTTCACCTTCATCGTGATTGGGAAAATTGAAAACGGGGCAAATTTTAAGAAAATGTCATTATCCCTGAAACAGAATTGTGCCTGGGAGAATTCAAAACGGGTCAGAATTTTTTATGGTGTGTGGAAGGGCTAGGATAAGATGAGGCAAAAATAACCAAGTATACAGTAGTTTCAGTGAAAGTCATTCTCTTTAAGTCTATTTTTAGAACACTTACTCTCTTTCTGTTTTATCGATGACCCTCTGAACTGAAAGTGTGGCCTTTCCTAGGAATCGGTTAATGGAGGGCCGACTCTTGGAAAACTTATCCTTGATTTCAAAATCCAGAACATCCGTGGGAACCGACTCGAAGGAAAATGACTGGAAAGAAAACAAAGATCTCCTGAATGATTTTTTTTAGAGCCATTTTTCTTTATGGTCAATGTCATTTGTATAAAACAAAAAATATTTATCCTGCCATCACTTTTCAGAACCATTCCTACTAAAGCTGCCTGATACCTTAATGTGGACAATTAGCTCATTCACTTGAATCTACTTTATAAAGCTACATATAGACAAAACTGTTTATTCTGCTTACTCATGCAAAGAATACACATCAAATGAAGCATAAAAAATGATACTGGTAGTATGCCACCATATCCACCCTTCTCTAGCTCCATCCCCCCGACCCCACCCCCACTTCCATTCTACCTTCATGTATATGCATCATTCATGCTTATTTCAGTAGGCTGGTTTACAAAGGCCAAGAATCATTTCAAAAGCAACATGCTCCCCCCCTCCCATCCCCTTAGAAAATTACAAAAACTGCCCCTAACACTAACCTGTCCCCGCCATACGGGGTTAGTTGTAGAATTACAGACACCGGTGCGTATCTCCCTCAGGTGGTGACTCATCTTAGGACACATTTTCCCGGGAAGTACCGTCATCTTCACGTAAGGGTCAGGGTTAAAGAACATTCCTTTCTTCAGATTTACAGCTTCAATGTCTGTAAGATGAGAGTTAGTCAAATGTTAATGAGACTGTTTTGGAAATTGTCTTTTGAACATTTGTAAAGCATCATTAAAACTGTTTTTTAAATGTTTATTTTTTAATTTACAGAATGCTGAAGAGGGCTGACTGGTTTGTTTTAGAATTTTGTATGTAATTAGCAAAAAAAAAATGCCAATTTGACTTCCTCAAGACAGATATGAGTGGGTTCTAAAACCATAATTTCAATTTTATTTGGCCTCATAGTAAAACGTTACAGGAAGCACCATTAAAAGGAATTCACTATGATTTTGAAATTTCAATCCCTTTAACTTAGAATGAATGTCTTAGATAAGACAGAAATTAAAAAAAAAAATGTATTCATAATCAAAATTGTTCATCCCTAAAGCAAGTTTTACTGCATCATAGTTAATCTGTGCTAGCAGCTACACATGTACACAAGTCAATATGTCGACGTGTAATATAACCTTAAATCTTACCCATTATCTTCAGTTTTATTTTTCTATTTATATCTCTGCTTGTGATTCCATTCTTCACTGCCTCCTCCTAAAAAAAGAAGGGATAAATGGAAAACAATTTTTCTCTACTCTTTTTGCATAAAATTGGAGCAACTCTTCAGGATAAGACTTCATACTATCCAAAAGTTATTCCATGTTTTCAGCTAACTTAAAACTTGAGTCTATATCATGCATAAATTTGATTTTGAAATCTTTTCTCAGAATAACTCTGAATATACAAAAAAATATTTTGAAATAACCAACTTTTACTTGTGTGCAAGAAATATCTGAGAGTTTCACACCCTTCTTCATGTTACCTTTTTCATACATTTAGCTCAGTGCAAAAGTATGTTCTTTAACTCGCGAATATGAATCGGCCCAAACCATTTATTTTGCTTTGTATTTGAAGAGAATATTTTCCCCATCGTGAAACTTAACTGTCTCAGATGGATTTCAAATGGACAAATCATGAAAAAACAGATGATGCAAATAATCATTGGTTTACAAAACTACCGTAAAATCACTTATTTTTGTGAGGAATTGATTTTCGTTGTTTTCGAGGCATGGGAGTCCAACAAATTTATGTCCACCATGAAATTAAATATCTCATTTGCATTACCACCAAACATTCTCCAACCAAAAGACCAAGTCCCCATAAACCAATATTTTTACCTCAGCCCTCACGAATTTGATCCCATGAAAATATGTGATTTTACAGGATGTGACAGTCATAATACCGACCTTAGGAGTGGCGGGTTTGACGACTTTGACGGAGGGACTAGTGGCCACCAGATCTTGGTTACTGCCCAGGTAATACTTGAAGCAAATCTTGGTTTCACCTGAATAACAGCAAATAATCATCAGGATAAATAATTGTAGAAACACTGAGAACAAGGAGTATTAATGAGTTTTTCCCCTTTTTTTACACTCAAGAATAAATGTAACTACATAAAGTTTTACATGCAGAATGCCAGATATGCTTGTTTAGGTCATGAAGGACAAATGTAAACAACAATCCACTTTCTTGGTTGTTGGTATAGAAATCCATGTTGCAGTTGATGCAGAAATGAAATACATAGCCTGTGTAATTGGATTATATAATTTTTTTCTGCAAAATCCACACAAACATAGAATTCCCATACTAACAAAGAGGATAAATTTTGATTGTATACATAGGACTCCTTGGGCATCAGTTTGTATCATTGTATGTGATGGGCATATACAGTCTGAATGGAGATTACCTGCTGTAAAGTTGTATGTGATGTCGGACAGGTCCCACTGTAGATCTCCTGTCTGGCCACCATTACCCCCGCGGTTCTTCATGTCAAGAAACTTTGAAGGATTAGTCTCTCCTAAATATTGAAAGGATTTTTAATATAAAAAAAATGATATTGATGAAAAGTCAAAGACTTAAGGTTTTAATGACATTCCTTCTTTATCTATACATGACATTTTAAGCATCTAGTACCTACACAATTTAAAACCAAGGCTTTGTCTGATACTTCAAGATACCTAACACAATGTGATTGTCACAACAAATTCTGAAAATAAATGATGCTGTAGCCCAGGCTGCAAATGACCATTTGCCCACTTTTGCTGAACCATGCTTTGATTTTAAACTCTTTTTTTTATTTGTTTTGGGGACTCACCTGACTGATACAGCCCTATCCAATCATCTGCTCCGATCTCTTCCTTGATGTCCCAGCTGACCTTGACACTTGTTGCCTTGGCAAGGTTAAGGACATTTTTATCCACGGCAAGATACGACAGCAATCCTGGTGACTCTGCGGCCAGATCAGATTCGCTACTGCTTCTCTCTCTCACATGTCTGTATTCAAACGACTGATTGGCTAGCGGAGAGGGGGGTAAGGGGAGGGAGAGGTCATCCACTGCTCCGTAAAGTGGGCCCTTTGATGACCCCGCCTCGGTCATGGTGGGTCTCCTCTACTGCCTTTTTACTGCTACTCCTCTTGTCAGCTGTGGGTGACTTTGTTCGGCCATACTCGTTTCACTGTGTCAACCCATGTTTAAATTTCACATCTTCTTTGACTCTGGAAGAGTAAATAAATGACTAAGGTTTAATTCATGTATGATGAAAAAAAAACACTTAACATACTTTAATAAGTTAAAAAAAAATTACTTCATTTTATTTAAATTACAGATTTCTGTATCTTCTCTGACTCATGTCTTAATAACATTAATAATTTTATTCAAAAAATGTTCAGTAAGTTTTTAAGCTACATATTTATTTAAAATGAGCAACAAAATATCATATAGATATGATCAGATATCTACCAAGACTCTTTATGTTAAGAGTCAAGCCAATGATCAGACCATGTTGACAACTTGCCATGCTTCTCTAAGCACTGAACAGGTGACATCTCAACTGGGACAAACTAATGAAATTATTTCTATTTTATTTTTATTTAAATAAGCGCGTTGTTTAATCAAAACATTTCAAAGACTTGATAATTTTGAAAATATGTACGCTACTAAATGATTAATTAATCGCTCATGCCCTTTTCTTCAACCTAAAGTGTGCAAACCAGATATTCATCCTCAGTAAAATCGAGGTTCAATAAGTACTAAATGTAAAAATTTCGCTTTTTCTAAGAACATATACTTACCATCTACTAGAATTTAATCCAGTGATATTTTATTTTCTTGCAGATAATGAAATTTCGCCAAAATATGCATAGAATAAGGTTGATTTATTAAGAAAACAAAATTCATCCATTTGCTAACATCCTTTTCCTGTTGTTGACATGTTGAACTGTGCATTGTGGGATACTTATGGCGGTATCGGTTCCAAATGCACGGTCATTAATAGGGATAATTTCAAAATACGTTTTCAGCAGTAATTTAAGGTTCATTGATAGCTGATAAGAGAAATAACTCTTAATGACATAAATGTTTATAATTCTTTAGAGATTTGGCAAGTTGAAGTGTCTTTTTTGTCCAATTTTGCACCGCAAGCTATGCTATAATTGTTTGTATTTTACTTATAAAATACATTTCTTTTGGAAAATCATTAAGGTTCAAGCAACATTTTATATGATTGAGCAGAGGGTTTATGAACCTTAAAAGCACTTTTTTAAAGATGTTTTGATTTTAAAAAAAGAGTAAGACCACAGATTAGATAAAGTTATACGTGATGTCAGACAATTTTTTGTATTGTGACATGTGTGGGAGAGTGTGACACGTGTGTGAGGGTGTGTGTATAGGGGGGGGGGGGGGTTCCACCCTGTAACGTACTAACTTCTTGGTATATTTTTAATGATGAAAATTGCATGTGTTCAACAGTACAGCAAAAAAGGGGAGGGAGTGGGGGGGTCAAAATGACAAATGATTTTCATAGTAAAACATATTATGATTATATACCGTATGTCTGACTTTTTTCTTTCAACTATATTTTAGGCCTTTCCTTCTTAAGTTTGTTCTCTTTACATGCTTTATGCGACTCGTTTGGGCACTGAATTAGTAATAAAACATATCTTATCTAAACTATTCTCACCCCCCCCCCCCCCCCCCCCAGTATTAAGAGTCTTTTAAGAAATGCTACAACATAATATATATAAAATCGCTATGAAATAAAACTACACAAAATTTCCTTCTGTTGTTGATGTGGAGTCCACTGAAATCAAAAATGTCGTAAATATTTGTCTGAAGATTAAAGATTGATCGAATATGCTTATCAAGGTACTGTCTGGTAGTTTTGGTACATGTAGTTACGTGATATATTGTGCCCCCAACTGTACGTAAGGCTGTCCCCTGACAGAAATTGCTTACTACAGGTCTGATCACCATTCTTATTTTAATCATATTTTATTAATTCTCCATGCTTTAAAGGACTTATCGCATGATTTTTTTCTTTTTAATCGTAATTTTATATCTGAGTAAACATTGCATTATATATATCGTTCATTCCTGAGTGTCAATAGGCGTTCCCTTTTTTAGTAATGAATTTATTTTAAGCATTTTTTCAGCAAATATATACTCCCCTAGGAATTGTTATAATCAGCGACTTAATGTCTCTGTTTTAATAGAACATTTCAAGAAAAAGTGGGGTTTAAACTTTAATTACAACTTTTGATATGTTCCCCCTCTAATTTTCCGGAAAAATACCTTTGCCGACTTTGAATGGTATATAGCATTTAGCACTTCCAGTTGTTAAAACGCGCGAACTAAAGTCAAGCTAGCGGCCTATATTTAAGTGTTTATCGAAAAAACACAGATTTATTAATTAATGTCTGGAGCCCGAGATACTGGGGCTCGAAGGCGCCCCTGTTGATTTCCGGTCTCAAAAGGGACCCAATTGACACCGTTTTGGGGCGCTAGGGCGCCAAATCCAACCCTATTCTCTGATACTTATATGTACTATAGGGGTCTAGAGAGGGCGCCTGGCGCCATAACAAGGAATTGTGCCACTTAGGGGAGCCCGAGATACTGGGGCTCGAAGGCGCCCCTGTTGATTTCCGGTCTCAAAAGGGACCCAATTGATTTTTTGGGGCGCGGGCGCCAAATCAAATTCTCTGATACTTATATGTACTATAGGGGTCTACACAAGGAATTGTGCCACTTAGGGAAGCCCGAGATACTGGGGCTCGAAGGCGCCCCTGTTGATTTCCGGTCTCAAAAGGGACCCAATTGACACCGTTTTGGGGCGCCAGGGCGCCAAATCCAACCCTATTCTCTGATACTTATATGTACTATAGGGGTCTAGAGAGGGCGCCTGGCGCCATAACAAGGAATTGTGCCACTTAGGGGAGCCCGAGATACTGGGGCTCGAAGGCGCCCCTGTTGATTTCCGGTCTCAAAAGGGACCCAATTGACACCGTTTTGGGGCGCCAGGGCGCCAAATCCAACCCTATTCTCTGATACTTATATGTACTATAGGGGTCTAGAGAGGGCGCCTGGCGCCATAACAAGGAATTGTGCCACTTAGGGGAGCCCGAGATACTGGGGCTCGAAGGCGCCCCTGTTGATTTCCGGTCTCAAAAGGGACCCAATTGACACCGTTTTGGGGCGCTAGGGCGCCAAATCCAACCCTATTCTCTGATACTTATATGTACTATAGGGGTCTAGAGAGGGCGCCTGGCGCCATAACAAGGAATTGTGCCACTTAGGGGAGCCCGAGATACTGGGGCTCGAAGGCGCCCCTGTTGATTTCCGGTCTCAAAAGGGACCCAATTGACACCGTTTTGGGGCGCCAGGGCGCCAAATCCAACCCTATTCTCTGATACTTATATGTACTATAGGGGTCTAGAGAGGGCGCCTGGCGCCATAACAAGGAATTGTGCCACTTAGGGGAGCCCGAGATACTGGGGCTCGAAGGCGCCCCTGTTGATTTCCGGTCTCAAAAGGGACCCAATTGACACCGTTTTGGGGCGCCAGGGCGCCAAATCCAACCCTATTCTCTGATACTTATATGTACTATAGGGGTCTAGAGAGGGCGCCTGGCGCCATAACAAGGAATTGTGCCACTTAGGGGAGCCCGAGATACTGGGGCTCGAAGGCGCCCCTGTTGATTTCCGGTCTCAAAAGGGACCCAATTGACACCGTTTTGGGGCGCTCGGGCGCCAAATCCAACCCTATTCTCTGATACTTATATGTACTATAGGGGTCTAGAGAGGGCGCCTGGCGCCATAACAAAGAATTGTGCCACTTAGGGGAGCCCGAGATACTGGGGCTCGAAGGCGCCCCTGTTGATTTCCGGTCTCAAAAGGGACCAAATTGACACCGTTTTGGGGCACCAGGGCGCCAAATCCAACCCTATTCTCTGATACTTATATGTACTATAGGGGTCTAGAGAGGGCGCCTGGCGCCATAACAAGGAATTGTGCCACTTAGAGAGAGCCCGAGATACTGGGGCTCAAAGGCGCCCCTGTTGATTTCCGGTCTCAAAAGGGACCCAATTGACACCGTTTTGGGGCGCTAGGGCGCCAAATCCAACCCTATTCTCTGATACTTATATGTACTATAGGGGTCTAGAGAGGGCGCCTGGCGCCATAACAAGGAATTGTGCCACTTAGGGGAGCCCGAGATACTGGGGCTCGAAGGCGCCCCTGTTGATTTCCGGTCTCAAAAGGGACCCAATTTACACCGTTTGTGGGCGCCAGGGCGCCAAATCCAACCCTATTCTCTGATACTTATATGTACTATAGGGGTCTAGAGAGGGCGCCTGGCGCCATAACAAGAATTGAGCCACTTAGGGGAGCCCGAGATACTGGGGCTCGAAGGCGCCCCTGTTGATTTCCGGTCTCAAAAGGGACCCAATTTACACCGTTTGTGGGCGCCAGGGCGCCAAATCCAACCCTATTCTCTGATACTTATATGTACTATAGGGGTCTAGAGAGGGCGCCTGGCGGTTTAACAAGGAATTGTGCCACTTAGGGGAGCCCGAGATACTGGGGCTCGAAGGCGCCCCTGTTGATTTCCGGTCTCAAAAGGGACCCAATTGACACCGTTTTGGGGCGCCAGGGCGCCAAATCCAACCCTATTCTCTGATACTTATATGTACTATAGGGGTCTAGAGAGGGCGCCTGGCGCCATAACAAGGAATTGTGCCACTTAGGGGAGCCCGAGATACTGGGGCTCGAAGGCGCCCCTGTTGATTTCCGGTCTCAAAAGGGACCCAATTTACACCGTTTTGGGGCGCCAGGGCGCCAAATCCAACCCTATTCTCTGATACTTATATGTACTATAGGGGTCTAGAGAGGGCGCCTGGCGCCATAACAAGGAATTGTGCCACTTAGGGGAGCCCGAGATACTGGGGCTCGAAGGCGCCCCTGTTGATTTCCGGTCTCAAAAGGGACCCAATTTACACCGTTTCTGGGCGCCAGGGCGCCAAATCCAACCCTATTCTCTGATACTTATATGTACTATAGGGGTCTAGAGAGGGCGCCTGGCGCCATAACAAGGAATTGTGCCACTTAGGGGAGCCCGAGATACTGGGGCTCGAAGGCGCCCCTGTTGATTTACGGTCTCAAAAGGGACCCAATTTACACCCTTTCTGGGCGCCAGGGCGCCAAATCCAACCCTATTCTCTGATACTTATATGTACTATAGGGGTCTAGAGAGGGCGCCTGGCGCCATAACAAGGAATTGTGCCACTTAGGGGAGCCCGAGATACTGGGGCTCGAAGGCGCCCCTGTTGATTTCCGGTCTCAAAAGGGACCCAATTTACACCGTTTCAGGGCGCCAGGGCGCCAAATCCAACCCTATTCTCTGATACTTATATGTACTATAGGGGTCTAGAGAGGGCGCCTGGCGCCATAACAAGGAATTGTGCCACTTAGGGGAGCCCGAGATACTGGGGCTCGAAGGCGCCCCTGTTGATTTCCGGTCTCAAAAACTACCCAATTTACCTCGTTCTTGGCGCCAGAGCGCCAAATCCAACCCTATTCTCTGATACTTATATGTACTATAGGGGTCTAGAGAGGGCGCCTGGCGCCATAACAAGGAATTGTGCCACTTAGGGGAGCCCGAGATACTGGGGCTCGAAGGCGCCCCTGTTGATTTCCGGTCTCAAAAGGGACCCAATTTACACCGTTTCTGGGCGCCAGGGCGCCAAATCCAACCCTATTCTCTGATACTTATATGTACTATAGGGGTCTAGAGAGGGCGCCTGGCGCCCAAACTAGGAATTGTGCCACTTAGGGGAGCCCGAGATACTGGGGCTCGAAGGCGCCCCTGTTGATTTCCGGTCTCAAAAGTGACCCAATTTACACCCGTACTGGGAGCCAGGGCGCCAAATCCA